TCTCATTCAGGTCATTCAATTCATCCCCATTTTCTAATTTTATCAAATTCAATTGCTTTTACTATTTCTTGGTTATATTTTTCACATAAAATAATTACCATATAGCTAATAATTGGGTACTATGATTTAGTTAAGCTGCATCTTTGTTAGCAATTGGAAATCATTAAATACAAATGCCACTATTGTTCTTATTTTATATTTCAATAACCACCACATAAAGTAACCTTAGCTTTTTAAATTTTTTTATACAGGTTCTGAGGGATGATTCTCTCCCTGTTTGCTCTCCTGACAAAGTACATGATGTGAAATTGGGAGAGCCAGCGGAGAGTACCTTGGCTGCAGCAACAAATGATTGCCTGACTAATGTAGCTTTAGGTTCTAGCGGCAAAGCTGTTACAGACAGGGAGTCCTACTCTGCTGATTATAAGAGTGGCCATTCATCTAGCTCAAGGGGTGCAACGTCGTTTGCCGCTGCCATGGCAGGGCTTGGATATGCTAATACAAGAGGTTTCAGGGGTGTCAGAGATAGACATGGACGGCTGTTTGGAAGTTCAAATGAGCCTCCGAAATTGATTTTTACTGCTGGTGGGAAGCAGCTAAATAGAAATTTGACTGTATATCAGGCAGTTCAAAGACTGCTTGTGCTAGATGAAGACGCCGATGATAGGTTTGCTAGAAGTGATTTGGTATCCAGTGATGGAAGTGGACCGTGGGGTGAAACTTGCACCCTTACTTATCAGAGGGCTGAAAACCAGACAAACAGAGATCCTACTGGAGGATCAAGTTCAAGTACTTCGAAGGCTGCCAAATCTGGGTCTTCCTCTAATTTCAGTTCAGAAGCTAAGTTGCATCAGACGTCAGTTCTAGACAGTATATTGCATGGAGAATTGCCCTGTGATCTAGAGAAATCTAATCCTACCTACAACATTCTGGCACTACTGCGTGTGTTGGAAGGTTTGAACCAGCTTGCGCCTCGTCTAAGGGCCCAAATGGTTGATGATCGATTTGCTGAGGGAAAAATCTTTGATTTTGACGAGCTAGGTGTTACGGCCAGTGCTAGGGTGTCTCCAGAGGAATTTGTAAGTAGCAAGATTACTCCAAAATTGGCTCGGCAAATACAGGATGCGCATGTACTGTGCAGTGGCAGTTTTCCCTCATGGTGTAACCAGTTGACTAAAGCATGCCCTTTTTTGTTTCCTTTTGAGACTCGACAACAGTACTTTTATTCAACTGCCTTTGGGTTATCTCGTGCACTCAATCGACTTCAGCAGCAACAAGGTGCTGAGGGTCTAGGATCAACAACTGAAAGAGCGATGAGGGTAGGGAGATTGCAACGCCAAAAGGTCCGTGTATCTCGCAATCGGATTTTGGATTCTGCTGCAAAAGTTATGGAAATGTACTCTAGCCAAAAAGCTGTGCTTGAAGTGGAATATTTTGGTGAAGTTGGCACTGGCCTGGGCCCCACCCTTGAGTTTTATACAATTCTAAGTCACGACTTACAAAAAGTTAGACTGCAAATGTGGAGGTCTTATTCTTCAGAGAAACATCTAATGGATGTTGATGGAGATGAAAAGAAAATGAAAAGCTGTGAAGGCTATGGGCCTAATGTCCCTGGAGATGGGGAACTAGTGCAAGCTCCCATGGGGTTGTTTCCTCGGCCATGGCCTACAAATGGCGATGCATCAGAGGATAGCCAGTTTACAAAAGTGGTTGAATATTTTCGGCTGCTAGGCCGTGTGATGGCTAAAGCTCTTCAAGATGGACGCCTATTGGATCTTCCATTGTCGGTGGCATTTTATAAGCTTATTCTTGGTCAAGTATGTTATTGTCGAATATTTTGTCTTGACCAATTTCATAGGTATTGTAAACTTTAAGGACTTTTATTCTATGTAAATATCTAACCTTCATTCTGTTTTAGCTTCTTGATTTGCATGACATTGTTTTCGTTGATGCGGAGCTTGGGAAGACTTTGCAAGAGTTGAATGCCATTGTTCGGCGCAAGCATCATACAAAATCCATTGGTGCTAACTCTAAGGATGCTAACGCTGACTTTGTTTTTCGTGGCACTCAAATTGAAGATCTCTGTTTGGACTTTACACTTCCTGGTTATCCAGAATATATATTGAAACCAGGAGATGACATAGTATGCAGTTAAATCCTCAGAAAGTCTATAAATTTTGGTTTGTGCTATTTAAATCTCTTTTAACTTGTTAAATTCTCAGGTTGATATCAACAATTTGGAGGAGTACGTATCCCTGGTGGTTGACGCAACTGTCAAGAATGGAATCACACGACAAATGGAAGCATTCAGAGCAGGGTTTAACCAGGTTGTATGCTAGTATCAGTTTAGCTTAAACAGTGTGCACATTGAGTGTGTTGTTTTTCTTAAATAAGGCTCTCCTTCCCTTTTCAAAACAACAACTACGCCTTATCCCACTAGGTGGGGTCGGCTACATGGATCAACTTTCGCCATATTATTCTATTAAGGACCATGCTTCTATTCAAATCATTAATCTCGAGATCCTTCTTGATTACTTCTCTTATAGTCTTTTTGGGTCTTCCTCTTTCTCGAATTGTTTGTCTTCTCTCCATCTGGTCTACTCTCCTTATTACAGTGTCTACAGGTCTTCTCTCTACATGCCCAAACTACCTAAGTCTATTTTCCACCATCTTCTCTACAATAGGCGCTACTCCAACACTCTAATAATTTCATTTCTAATTTTATCCTGTCGAGTCTTACCACACATCCACCGCAACATCCTCATCTCCGCTACACTTACTTTATTCTCGTGTTGGTTCTTAACCGTCCAACATTCTATTCCGTACAAAATCGCAGGTCTTACCGCAGTCCGATAAAACTCTCTTTAACTTGAGCGGTACCTTTGCATCACATAAAACACCTGATGTCTTTCTCCATTTCATCCATCCAGCTTGAATGCGATGATTTACATCCCCTTTTATTTCTCCATCATTTTGTATTACGGACCCAAGATATTTAAATCGTGTGACTTGAGGGATAATATGGTCTCCTACTTTCACCTCTAAGTTAGAAACGCTGCTTCTTCTAGTGGAAAATATCTCATATTTGCATTGCCATAGTTTATATATGCTACCATTGATCTTTTTCCTTTCCTAACAATTTTAATTTTGTAACATGGAGTACACATCCTTCTGCTTTAGTTGCTAAGCTTTTGAGTTATAGCTTCTGAGTTTTATTGGATCATATGTCATTATGAATATTATGAATTTTAAGAGGTGTGTTTTTACTAATTTGTATCATTAGAGATCATTTTGTATTTTGGTGATATCTAGAGTGGTGAGTACTTATTTGACCAATATCTCATACTTAAATATTTCAATAGGGAGATTATTAAATATATATTAGTCTTTTCTTACTTATGTTTGCTCCCTAGTCCCTACCACCAAGATACTGACCCTATTTTTCTGCCACAAAATGAATTTGCAGTTTTCAGTTATTGGATATCTAATATTTGACATTTTGAAGATATTGTTTGTGAAATGAGCGAAATATTATGGTTCTAAAGTTTTCCTCGTTGAGGATGAGACATTTGGTTTATTACTAAAGGTCTTCCACTTGCACATGTGTGCTGTTCAATGCAGGTTTTTGACATTTCTTCTTTACAAATTTTTAATCCCCAAGAACTGGATAATTTGCTTTGCGGCCGCCGAGAGTTGTGGGAGGTGAGTGTTTTCAAAGTTTCATTATGGCTTTCAACAATAATTAAAATCCTAGAACTTCCCATCAAGCTTGTAAGTTTTCTATTGAAAATTTTCTGCAGGCAGAGACACTTACTGATCATATAAAGTTTGACCATGGATTCACTGCTAAAAGCCCTGCGATAGTTAATGTATGATTATTTTCCTAATTGTAAGGACTGCTGTATGTTAGTGGGAATTTTGGCCAGTTGTATTTGATGCACATATCATATTGGGTGCTATTTTCAGTTACTTACAATTATGGGAGAGTTCACCCCGGAACAACAGAGGGCCTTCTGTCAGTTTGTTACTGGTGCACCCAGGCTGCCTCCTGGTGGGCTGGCAGTTCTAAATCCAAAACTAACAATTGTGAGAAAGGTATATAGACATGTTTTTGACAACTCTGATATCTATATTATAGCTTATTCATGACTTAATTTTGTACTTTATATAATTTTTCTTCTTTCTTTTTCTTTTTGCATATCATTATCCACATTAATATTTGTTGTCACCTCTATTCATGACATTTTATTACACTGGGCGCAGCTGTCGTCGACTGCAGTAAATACTTCATCTAATGGGAATGTGCATTCAGAATCAGCAGATGATGACTTGCCCAGTGTTATGACATGTGCTAATTACCTGAAGCTTCCTCCTTATTCTACCAAGGTATTGTAATTGTCCTGAAAAGAAATGATTTTTGCCAATATCTCTTCACGCATTTCCTTGCTCCTTGTTTGAAGTAACAGAAGTTTCGGAAAGGAACGTGTAAAAAAGGAGTCCAAATAACATAGTTGTTGATTAAATTATGATTCATTTCCAAGCGTTTTCTCTGCTATTGTGACCTCTAGTACTAATCTCTGATGTCCAATATAAAACAGGAAATTATGTACAAAAAGCTACTCTATGCAATCAGTGAAGGCCAGGGATCCTTTGATTTATCGTGAGTTTCTACAACTAACCAACCTAACTGTGGATGTTAATAGAGGAATCACAGTTTGCTCTCGGGGCTATGTAATCTATGGTTTGCATGTCCTGACCTCGCTTCTAAAATAATGGACTCCTTCTAGATAGTTCAGGTGAGTTGGTTTTTTTGTTAGTAGGACTGGTTGGATCTCTATCTGTTCCGATTTATACAAATATGACTAGATACTAAATAAATCATAGTATTCTCTGTTGCAGCTTGTGAAACAGTTCATATCTTTTCTTCAAAATAATTCGGATGCTCTTTCTTCAATGGAGGCAGTGGAATCGGTTTGCCATTTTTTCAAGGTGCAGGGAATTTAAGATGCTATTTTTTCAATTTTAATTGTTAGAAGAACGTGTAAATAAATAGGAATTTGAATTTTTTTCAATGCTTTATTATTCTGTTTGTAAGTCAAATAATTTGTAATCACTTGTCTCCAATAATTTGTAAGAAAGGATGACAAAGGGAAGATATTCTGGACTGGGCCGACACTTGTCCCACTGTTGGGGAGGTCCAATCCAGCGTCTTTACAAAGGTCCAAAAGTGTGCAGCCCAAACTAAGGACAATTGGGTATTTCCTCATGCGTTCACTAAAAGAACATGATTCATGTTCCATAATGTCATTATCCTGCCTTCCGAGAATAACGGGTTCAAGTTCTCTGCTTTTTTCGGGCAGTTGACCAGGAAGGAGGTCACGTGTTGGACTCCATATACCTATAAACCTTGACAGTCTTCATTATTGGGCCTGATTGTGGTCCATTACTGAAGACTTGGCCCAGCACTGGGGGCTATAAATACCCTCTCACTTGAGAGTCAGATATCCATTCATCCATCCATCTATACTTTCACATTTTGCTTGCACTTACTTCGAACTTTACTTTGGCATCGAAGTGCCTTGCAGATATGCTCCACTTCACGTTTAACTGTTGCTCGACTTAAAGCTTGCGGGTCTTGACGATCTCTTATGATCGGTACGATCATTGGCGTCGACTATGAGATCAAGGCTTTTCTGTTTTTCATTCACGTAAGACCAAAGCAACACCTTTAACCTTCAGGTTGTCATGGCCGACTAAGCTTTCAATAATGACCAAAATGTTCACTTTATCGAGGCGGGCAACAACAATAACGTTTTTGCCCTGAGCAAGACCCTCAAGACAGGATGGTCGCATCTTTTTTCATCTGTTTGCAACCATGCGATGACACCCACCATCCTCGGCAGAATTATGAGTTGGCTGCATATCAGGAGATCTTTGTTCTCAAAAACATTGACGCCACGATCAGAGCCTTGTTCGCAAGGATCAACTAGACGAACTACATGATTTTCGTACAGAGTGAGCGCCTGATGATGGTGGAACAGACTCGTTGACCCCCCAAAAGGCACCGAAGACCTGATTTTCGAACTCCTCTTCTCTGGAATGAGGACGGCTTCCGATCTCCTCTCCGGACACACAGAAGGGACGACTCTCGAAGCCTTTCTCCCTGTCGAACTGGGCGAGGTCCTACATTGGAGAGGATTCAACCCAAAGCTATCAAGAGACGCTATCACATCCTGCAGAAAGAGCGACGATCCCATAAGAGAAACATGGGCGAGGTAGAGAAGAAGTCTCGACCGAGGAACCCTCCCTGGGTCCAAAGTCGACACAAGATCGTCGATACTATTAATTCCCATCTCGCTCCCTGAAAAGAAGGGATGAAGACGATCTCTGTGGTCTGCTGTCCCAGGCCGTCTTGGAGGCCCCTATTCTTAAAGGGATGGAGAAGCCTCCCCTTCTGAAGGAATATGACGACAATGCTGATCCCGTCGACCACATCAACGGCTTTGAAGCCATGCTTCACTATCACAACGCTGAAGGTTCCATTAAGTGTAGACTGTTCCCCATGACCATGAGGAAAATAATCATGGATTGGTATATGAATCTATCCACTGGGTCGATAATCTCGTGGAGGAACTTGAAGAACCAATTCATCAGCAACTTCACTGCATCTCGTCGGCACACGAAAATTGAGGTTGCCCTTGAGGCAATCATTTAGAGGAGTAATGCGATCTTCAGAGAATACATTGATCGGTTCAACTGCGAGACCATTCAGGTCCCTTGCGTCGATCACATGAAGAGATACCTGCTCGAGAGGGGATTTCTCTCGGGCACTAAATTTAGAAAGGCCCTTGGCATTGAGCCCCCAAGTCTTTTGATGCACTCTTTGAAAAAGTCCGGACGTACATGGACTACGAGGTTAAAGAGGCAGCCAACAATGTCTGCGATTCAAGGATTCGCGTGCTAACTAACGTCCCATGACACAGTGACGTGGGCCCTTCTCGATGAACAAAAGAAAAGAGAAGGGAGGAGAAACCTCGTGACCCTCGCGAGCACAGAGGACCAACCGAGCGGTTCATCGAGTACACCCCGCTGACTGCTTCCTACGAGCGTATCCTTGTAGAGTGCTCCAATGTTGAGTTTAAGAACGACGGAGTCATGCGTCTTTGACTCGCCCCTGTAAAGTCTGGGGTCGACAGAACAAAATACTGTCATACCACCAGAGTCACAGTCACCTGATCGAAGACTGCGTCCACCTGAACGATGCCATCGAGACTCTCATTAAGACAGAGAAACTCAGGCAGTACAAGCGAAACAACGCCCCTCGTCGGAACCCATGAGATTAAAGAAATTGAAGATGATACTTGACCATCTGATGAATCTAGTCACCTTCAGGTAGCCTTCTGCATCTCAAGGTCCAAGGACTTTCACATCTCCGACAGTCTTGAAGATGACGAGCCTTTGTTTATCTATAACGGATGGGAGAAGTTCCCTGCCATGGTCATATCTGGCGGGGGATTCATTGATATTTTGGTGAATTCAGCGAAGAGGAAATTCAATGAGCTAGTGGATGCAGCTCTGATCCAGGCGGTAACCCTTGAAAGATTCAAGGGAAAATCTGAGCCGATTAACTTCTATCTTGAGGAGCTGTCTGACGATGGAAGTTCCGTCAACGTCATGTACATCCACCTGTTACGCATCTTGCAGCTCGACGATATCCACATGTCACCGTACACGGGGTCCAACCTACAAAGATTTAACGGTTTGACCTCTAAGTCATGGGGCTACGTCGATCTGTTTGTCACATTTGGGGAAGAAACTGCATCCCGACAGGTCAAAGTGCGGTTTCTGGTGATCGATTGTCTGCCTCTCTACAACTGCATCATGGGGAGACCAACACTGGTCGAGCTGACCGCCGTATCCTCTACGGTGAATTTAAAAATGAAGTTCTACACTAAGAGGGCTTGCGTCGCCACCATCCATGGAGACATCTCAGCTGTCAGGAGATGTTTCAACGAGGCTTCCAAAGAGAAAAACATGGTCGACACTAGGATATAACCTACTAAAAGGGTAACCACTTCGACAACAACGACTATCTCGGCAGACAAACCTGCTCGAGTCGAAGAACAACAGACTCCACCAAAGGTCGACTCCATTGCACTCAACACTCGCTTTGACAAAAACGAAGTCGAGACCCCAATAACGAATAAGATCCTCTCCGACCCGTCCCAGACGGAGACTTCGAGTTCATCTCCTTGGGCGAAGACTCGAACAAAGGCGTGAAGATCAGTGCCAAACTCTCTAACCTATGCTAAGGGGTGTCCCCAATTTGTAATGTAAGAATACTGATCTCTTTGTTTTATTCAACATAACAGTTTTTATGCATCAATTTGATTGTTTAGAAGAATTTATAATTTTACCCTATGGGACCATATGGTTTTACTGTTATTAACACATTAGAACCGAACGATCGTGTTAAGGTTTTCTAAATATAGATTATTTCACCTAGGACTTGGGCAATTCTATGATAACCAGAATAATTCTTGATAATTCAATGCTTAGCCTTAAAACTAATTTGAATGAACATTGAAATTAAGATAGAAGGTTAAAATTTTTTCACTAAGGACTTAGAAAAAGATAATCTTAAGAATCGGTAATTGAGGTTGATAAACTTGTTGAAGAGATCAAAGAGTGAATTTCATGGAAAATCATACACTCACCCCTAACATCTTTTAATCAAACAGAAAAAATCACATTTTATATTCAGTCATTTAATCTTTCGCAAGGATTTATTTCAATCAAACTCAACTATTTTTTGTTTAATTGAATTAATAATAAAATTCAATATTTCCTACGTAGTCCTCGAGATCGATACTTTGGAAAAATCACATTATTACTACATCGGTGAAAGTAGTACACTTGCTATTTTTTTGATCACAACCTCCACTTTTTTGGGAGACTGCATACGTTATACTACTACGCTAGCAGCTGGGTCCACAGTAAGTTGGTGACATGCAACCTCTGGATCGAATCCGGACATCTCTACATCGCTCCACGTGAACAAGTCAGCACTGAGGTTAAGAATATTTAAATTTAGAGTTTCCTCTTTATATACCTCTCTAACTATATTTTGTATTTAAGTCTCTTTTCGATTTTCCTCCTTTTTCATTCGGACAGTCACATCCAGGCAATGGGGATTATGATGATCATCACATACACAAGACTGATCAAAGATTTTTTATGCTCAGACACCAAATAAGAGCTTTTGCTCCTTTATAATTTCAGATGAAATTTCAAAACCTTTCAGTTTATATATTGTCTTTTATGGACGATGTTTGATGATCAACCCCCTTTGGGATGAATAATCTGGTGAAGGCTACCCAACTTAGCGAGCCAGTTGCCTTTTACTGCCTTGTCATCATTCGGTTCCAAATTCATTTCTTTCTCTTTCAATCATACATGCATGTGAATCTATGTTATGTCAGACTGTGAGGATAAACTATTCCAGGAGTACTTCTCAGGATTCAAGCATTATGGTACAAATCTACACGTTAGACTCGTATCTCTGTCACGTTATTTCGAACTTCCTACCCTCGAACAACCATCCCTTTGTCTCTATATACTATTCCCGAACTCTCTGAGAACCAAGTTCTTGCTGATCAAAATAAATTTTCAAAAATTTTTGGCCAAATTTGGACTTCAACTCGTGGATTTAGATTTACAGAGCAATTCACATAGAACTAACAAATAATTTGAAAAGAAGAAAAGCAATAAACCCCCCTCCCCAAACTTGAACTAAACATTGAACCCAATGTTTCAGAACAAATTAGAGAAGGTGACTCACAGAGGATAATGTAACACATGCTGCAAACTCCTAGCTCTCACCAGTAAGACTCCCTTTTTATTACTTGCAAACAAAACAAAAAGAAAATTTAAGTTATTAAAAGCGTGAGTTTCCTCCCACGAAGCGCTTTGTTTAACGTCGCATGACTCGATGGTTCATTCCCCTTATGGGAGTACTTCCTCTTCTACACCTTGTTGCTTGTTTCTTCCGTAATTCAGAACTCATTCAGATCAAAAGTCTTAAAACATTTGTGCTTCTAGCCACTTCAAACTTCCATCTTTTCAACTTGGTGTTCCTTCTTCTTTCTCTTCTTTCTTTGTTGACTGCATTTAGGAATTTTTATTGATGCCACCTGAGAGATTTTTTCCGAGACTTCTTTTGGTTGTGATTTTGAACTGTTGCCTTCTCCTTCTACTTTAATCATTTTGACTGAAGATTTATCCTTTTCACCTGCACCATACTTCATGATTTCTAACACCTTCAAAGTTATCTCCTCATCAAATGATTTTAGTGTCAGATTATTGGTCTCAATATCAAAATTGCATCGACTAGTCAGCATAAATG